ATAATATTTGTTTCAAAATCTTCCATAAATATATAAGCTAATAATGGAGATACACTAGAGCCTATTGCTAGACCAAAATTGTGTGTATAGAATTAATTATTTAGTTGAAAATATGTGTTATCAGTACATAATGTTAATAACTCCATTCTAGCTGATATTTTTAGTCTTGTTCTAGTTGCCAATGTATCAACACTCTCCAATTTTGTCTTGACTATATTTAAAGTCTTATCTAATGGCACATTCGTAAATAAATTATTTATGTCAAAACTTACCAAAGTATTATTTGAATTAAATTCAATATTTGATAATTTATTTAAAAAATGTGTAGTTTTTATAAATGTGTCATTTTTAATTGCAAGTGGTTGTATAATATTTAATAAAAATTTTGATAGTTCACTACAAGAAGAATTTATGGTAATATAAATGGGACTAAGTGGTATATTCGTTTTATGAACTCTCGGTACTCCATAAAAATGAGGGGTCTTACTGTAATGAGGTGGAATTAATCTTCTCTGATAACTTGTTAAACACTCATTAAACTTGAATAAAGTTATATTATAATCTGTTTTCTAAAGACTTTTTAGATCCTTTGTTAATTTTGCATAAGGTCTGTTTATGGACAGGCAGGTTTATGGACCTTCCTGTTAACTGTAATCGAATAAAAATGTATTTTGTCGTGGATAATGCTCTTTAATGGGCATATTGAAATTATCATTTTTTGTTTTTAAAAAGCAACAGGCTTTATATTAAAATTTATAGGCTATAGAAATATAAAGTACATGTTGAGTAAAGTATAAATTATAACTAATTATAATAACATAAATAATTTAACAAATTATAAATGTCATTATTATCTTCATTATTGTTGTTTTTTTTTTTAGCGTAAAATGATAAGTAAACAATAAGTATTTCCGTTGTTAAAGACTGGGTTATTATTTAAAACATTGGTATAGTTAAAATACTTAAAACAACAGCACAAAGAGTTTTTTTATATTTAATAATGGTTTTCTTTATCATATATATTGTTATGATTGTTTATCTTGACTTTGATTTTACTTTATTGAGCCAATTAAAAAGTATAACTTAATTGTTATCAAATGTAAAATAAAACTCCTTATTGTTCGACAATCTTTGTTTACTACACTTACTTATTGCTACCTTCTTCTTAACGTGCCCTATCAAGTCCCCTTGACGTTGGCGATTAGGATGGCGAAACTGTCTCTGTCTCGAGCTATTCTAAATAGTTGCTCAGCTTTCTTTATTCCTGTCCACTTACTGATATTCTTCAACCAAGAGGCCTGCTTTCTACCAATTCCTCTGCGTCCTTCGATTTTACCCATCATAATAAGTTGAAGAATATTATATCGGTCTCCCCTTACTACGTGTCCAAAATAGGCCATCTTTCTACATTTGATGTTATCAAGCAGCTCGCGAGCAGCATTTGCTCTTTCAAGGACTGCCACATTTGTCAGCATAGCCGTCCATGGAATTTTTAGTATACGTCTGTGCAGCCATATTTCAAAGGCCTCCAGACGATTAATCGTGGATATTTTTAATGTCCATGCTTCGACACCGTATAAGAGGACTGACCAAATGTAGCATTTAACCATGCGCTTTCGAAGTTGAAGTTGCAAGCTATCATTACAGAAGAATGATCTCATTTTTAAAAATGTCGTGCGGGCTATCTCGATTCTACATTTTATCTCTTGATCTGGATCTAGTTGTTCAGTAATATGGCAACCAAGATATTTAAAACTGGACACTCTTTGAATTATATGACCATCAACATATAATCGCGCATCTTGATGTGTTAAACGGCTAAACACCATGTGTTTTGTTTTTGAACAGTTTATGTTTAGGCCAAACTCTCTTCCCACTTTATCAATGGCATTTAAAAGCCATTGTAATCCATTCATGTCATCACTTAAAATAACTGTATCGTCTGCATATCTGATTGTATTTATCAGAATTCCATTAACTTTCACGCCCCATTCCAAATTATGCAGCGCTTCTTTAAATATTCTATCTGAATATAAATTAAATAACAGTGGGGATAGTATACAACCCTGTCTGACACCTCTTTGTATTTTACATATTTCTGTTGATTTTCCGTTTATGCAAGCTGTCGGGCTGTTTGACGCCAGTATAACTTTTCTATGAATCGTATGTCTTGACTATCAACTTCTTTATCTTTTAATATTGTAATTAATTTGTGATGTACTCGATCAAAGGCCTTTTCATAGTCAATAAATACAGCAAAGACGTCTTTCCTTTGATCTCGACATTTCTGCAGTAATACATTTAGTGGAAAGAGGGCGTCCCGAGTTCAAAGTCCATTTCTGAAGCCAAATTGTGTTTCATCCTGATCTTCTTCACATTTATCTCTGATTCTACTGTGGGTGATGCGTAGAAATATTTTTAAAGTGTGGCTCATAAGGCTTATCATTCTATAATCGCTACAGTTTTTCGGACGTTGTTTTTTTGGTAGTGTTATGAATTCGGACTTTAACCAATCTTCAGGAATATCACCAGTCGAATAAACATCATTGAAAAGTTTAACCAGTATTCCAATGTTCTCCTCATTTATAAGCTTTAACATCTCTGTCGGTATGTTATCAGGGCCAACGGCTTTCTTGTTCTTTGGTAACTTTATTGCATGCAGTATTTCTGATTTTAGTATTTCTGGTCCCTCACCTTCAACTAAAGTCTATTTTATTATAAATATTATAAATATATTTATATTTATAAATTTTATAAATTTATATTTATTATAAATTTTATGTTCGTCTATTATCATTTTTCCCGACGAATCGGTTATAGTATGTGGAGTTTTCTTATGATAAAGACCAGCTACTTCTCTAACTTTTTTAAACATATTAAACGTATCATGTTTTTCATTCAACTTCATTCTCACTTTTCATTCATTCAACTAATTCCTTGCATTTATCCTCCATCCATTTTTCTTTAGCCACCTTTATTTTTTGTTTAATTAGTTTCTGTTTTTCCTTATTATTATATTCTGTCTTATTACCTTTCAGTTTCCTTCTCTGCTCCATTAATTCCAGGATTTCATCAGTCATCCATTGTTGTTTTTTGTACTTGTGTAACGTTGTTGAATATTTTTCTATTACTTTCAAGGTAAGATCTTTAAATGTGTTCCATATTTCTGTGTTGTTTTCATTTATTGATTTCTTTAGCTCATTGTTTAAGTCATTTTCTATTAACGTTTTGTTGGATATTGAGATATTTAATTTTGGTGTTTTGGAGCTTTCTTGGACTTTTTTGAGCTTCACTTTGATATCAGTTATTACAGGGTTATGGTCTGAACCGATATCTGCACCAGGATATGTCGTTACTCTGGTGACGCCATTCTTAAATCTCTTGTTTACCAGAATATAGTCTATCTGATTTCTAATCATATGTAGTGAATTATCTCCTGGTCCCCTCCATGTGTATAACCTTCTTTTGTGTAATTTGAACCATGTATTTGCGATTATCATGTCATGTTCTTGACAAAACTGGTATAATCTATCGCCTCTTTCATTGCTCTTCCCTAGTCCATATTCACCCACCACGTCAGATTTTCGGCCTTGGCCAATTTTTGCGTTAAAATCTCCAATAATATATGTGACTTCGTTACTTTTTAGATTTTTAAGTGTCTGTTTTAATTGGCTATAGAATGATTCGACGTCATTGTCATATTTCTTTTCTGCAGTAGGGGCATATACCTGGATAACATTGACATTAAATGGTTTGCTATTTAATTGGAGTATTGCTAGTCTGTCGTTCACTGGTATGAAATTTTTCACATATTTCTTAAATTTAGACGTTATAAATATATTGTTACCTAGTATTACCAAATACCTAGTAGTCATCACATTCATGATTTTACCTACTATTTCTTTACCTTATTGTTACCTAGTATACCTATACATTTTATGTATTTTCTCCAATGTTCCTTACCGCCTTAGATAATACCATCACCAACGCTATGTCATCAAATCACACCCAAAACCAAAAAAATCAATGCATGTGCATTGACAGAACATGCACTAACTCTAAAACATGAATTCAATTTCGATGATTCCTGTATTTTGGCAAAAGAAAAGAACCATTTAAAACGTGTTTTTTTTTAAATGTGTTTCATAAAATCTAGCACATCTTGCATCAACAAAAAGTCCGACATAGACAAATTAAGTAACATTTATTGTTATTTACTAGAAAAACACCAAAAATAAAATAAATATTTACCTGTACAAAAATTACACCTCTGTATAATATGTTGCATACCATTAAGACAGGTTTAAAAAGTATAGTCACCTAAGAAGGGCCTCTAGTATTTCTTGTAAAGAAAGATAACATCAATTACACCTAATTACATATTAATTACACTGTTTTTCTTTTCATTCTCTGTATGAGTTAATATACACCAGTAAAACATGCCATCAATCAAGTTTTACTATTTTTACAACAAATTTTAAAAATTTTATGATGTATTATGTCCATAATTGTATATTTTAATGTGTGGTATAAATGTTGAGTGTCAATGCTTACAAAAATAATCTCAACGACTAGTAAGTTACACTGAAGAATTGTGATATTTTTTAAATACTTACATAATGGTCTTTTACAGTGTCTTGAAAAAGGAATAAAACCATTCCGAAAGCTCGACAAAAAGTCAAAAGAGTGTTTTTTTAACATCCCGGCCAATATTCTGACTGCAACCCTAATAAACTGTGTTGTTTGTATATATATATATATATATATTATATATATATATATATATATATATATATATATATATATATATATATATATATATATATATATATATATATATATATATCGCATACATAAAAGAAAATAAGTATGTGGTATTTAGTACCACTCTTGTAAACTGATAGGCCTTAAGTAGTCATTTTTTTAGGTTGGATTAAGTTGGGATACATTTAGGATGACTTTGTATTAAAAGATAAAAATTATAATTTTTTATTTTTTAGCTTTTTAGGCATGGAAACAGAACTGCAGAACTACAAGAAACTTACCCCAAAGATCCCTACAGAAACTTTACATACTTTCCAATAGGGAGAGGACAATTGACAAACGTAAGTAAAAAATTTAAAATATAACATAAGTAATTGCTTCTATATATAATTAAAGGGGTGAGTCTTCGCCTCATCCACTATTGCCCTCCATCCTCTACGATCTTGCGCTTCTATTACCCATTGTTGTACCCCAATTCTAGATAAATCGGTTTCAACATCATCCTTCCATCTCTTTCTCGGTCGGCCTACTGATCTTCTACCATCTGTTTTTTCAAAAAACACTGTCTTTAACACTCTTTTATCGTATCACATAACCTGTCCATTTTATTTGGTTTGCCTTGATATGATTGATTCTTTTTATTATATCGTCTTCTAACGAAGGTTGTAACGATAAGACTACCAAAGAGAATTAAAGTACTATTGTAAAAATAATACCTCAATCGACCATGGGAGCTTATCGTCTATACCTTGCCTAGCTCAGTATCTCAAGGGCGAGTTCGTCTTGTCTTAAAATAGGGATTGAACCTGAGTTCTCAGTTGATAGCAAATAAGACAAATTTTAACCAAACGTATTTGTTTAAAAGAATAAAAAAACACAATAATTAACCCTGCCAAAGCCCTGCCAAACAATTGATGTGATACTTATTGCTTCGTTCGATGGGCTACTTGTGTGCTTTAGCTGCTAAGTCTTCCAATCAAATGTGGTAGTTTTTGGAGAGCTGCAGTCACATGTGGATGTATCTCCGGATTAAGTCCAATAGATGGTCCTTACTATTTTGAATGTGTTATAAATCCAATATATCCAATCATTTTACAAAATTACAATTGAACAAATAGTGTATGGCAAGGATAAAATGAAATATGATTTTTACTACTTAGTTAAATTCTGTTAAAAAGTCCTAATGTATATATCAAAAAAACAATATGCTTTCGAAAGAAAGTCAGGTTACAAATATCGGAAATGCTGTCAGAATTATAGAATATATATCACAATGAAAGTACTTACCCCAAGAGAATTTTTAGACCATTAGAAAGAGAGAGGGCGAATATTTATTCTACGGGACAGAAAGAGAGAGTAAATAAAGACAGAGGAAGAAAGAGAGGTTGCCAACTTCTTTTTTAATAAAAACTTTACCCCCTCTGTGGCTCAGTGGTAAGAGCGCCTGCCTTTAAACCTAAAGGTCGTGAGTTCGAATCCCACCTGGGTGGAAATTTTCGTTTATTAAAAAAAATTAATAAATGAAAATAATTTCTATCCTTGTGTGATCGGTACACACCGGAGGGACCGCAGACGTTCGGATACAATTAGCGTGTCTTAGCAAAGACAATGACGTCGACTTTGCTAAGTATCAAGACAATTACTCTACACACACACACACACACACACACACACACACACACACACACACACACACACACACACACACTACACCTCAAATTGTAAGATTGGCGAATGGATTTAGTGTCCGCAGTCATTTAAACACAAACAAACAACAACAAACAAATAAAAACTAGTAAAAATTAAACTGAAAGTAAAGAAATTAATAAATAAATAAATGAAAATGAAATAATTATTTAAATATAAATTAATAGATATGTGACGTTTATAACGTTACAAGGTTGTTGATCTTTCTTTTAAACGTTTCCCTTTATCTAGCAACGTATAAAATCTGTTCAACATTGAAGTTAGTCCAATCTCTCATATTCCCCAGCCAAGATTTCTTCTATCTTTTCATCTTTTCTTTCCTCTATTCTTCCTTGCATGATGACGAGTCGCAGAAAGTATTTATCGTAATAATTTGTAAAATTTGATTAGATTAGATTAGATTAGATTAGATTAGATTAGATTAAGAAAGGTGGCCTTTCGGCCTATTCCACTGCGACCTTTTCAGATCTATTGTGGTCCTCTAGTGCTAGATAACATTCTCTAGCCTGACCCTCTTTATAAAGTCTAGTAGCTTCGAGACTGTTCCTTCCATGTAGCTATTTGCCGGTGGATTTTCTCCTAATAATGCAAAAAACCGCATATTTGCCAGACTGTCACACTGACAGAAAATGTGCTCTGCTGTTTCTTCTTCGAGGTGACAGAATCTGCACAGGTCATCATCTGATAATCCCATTAGCTTCAAGTGCCTATTCAGCTTACAATGCCCTGTTATAAGACCTGCTATGGCTTTGAATGTTTTCCTGTCTTTGCTAATTAGGCCGGCCGTAAATTTTGGCAAATGTTTTCTAATGAACTGTTTTGCCTGTCTTTGTCCTGATGAATTTCTCCACCATTCCAGAGATTTGTGAGCTACCCACTTCTTTGTAGCCGTTATTGTTACTGGCTTTGCAACGCCGCAGAAGGGTTCCGGTCCAATGAATGGCATTTATGAGCCTTGTTTGGCCATTTCATCTGCTTTTTCATTGTCCTTATGACCCTCGTGCCCCGGTACCCAGACTACCGTAACCTTGCTACGGTCTCCTAGTTTATTTAGGGCATACACGCAATCCCATACTAGCCTAGAATTGACCTCTACAGAATTGAGTGCCTTAAGCGCTGCCTGACTATCTGTGAAGATGGCAACTGAAGAGAACGTTCTTTCCTGCCTTTTTATTTTTTCCACGCAGTAATGGATTGCAGTTATTTCTGCCTGGAAAAGTGTTACATCCTTAGATAGGCTTACCGGGAAATGTATCCTTGATTTGTCTCTACTATGCTGGCTCCACTACCCTCCGATGTTTTTGAGCCATCCGTGTACCAGGTAGCAGCAGCTTTTATGGGTATACCTTTATTCCAGTCTTCCCTGCCTGGTATCTTAATTATGAATCTATTGTTAAAGCTATATCTAGTAGCTGTTGGATCGATAGGTTTCCCCATCACAATATCGGCTTTTAGCTCCTCTATTGGCTTTCTGTTGTCAGTACCATGCATTTGGCTTATATGTCGCTGATTATGGATTAATCTGTGCATCACTGATCTGGCTTCGCCCTGTATAAGTATATAAAGTGGTGGTAAATTCAACAGGACTTCCAACGATGCAGTAGGAGTTGTTTTCATGGCCTTTGTAATACACAGGCATGCTAGCCTTTGTGTATTACTTAGCAGCCTTATTGCTCCCACTTGCTGCGTCTTTGTCCACCACGTCACCGAGCCATAGGTTATCATGGGTCTAATAACCCTTGTGTACAACCATAGAGTCATTTTGGGGTTAAGTCCCTAATTCTTACCGCACATTCTTCTACATCTGCCCAGGGACATAGTAGTTTTCTGTGTGGTTTTTAGAATGTGAGTATTCCATGTAAGCCTATGATCAAGATATATCCCAAGGTATTTTGTTTCTTTGGCAAATGAAATCTCTGTTCTTCCCAGCACCGGTGGTTTTGGGCCTTAGCACCGGTAGTGCTGTTTTGTTGGTAAAGTTGACGATTTGTGTTTTCTGAGCATTGACTATCAGTCTCTCTTCTTTACACGAGTCGTCAACTATATTTAGAGCTGCTTGCATTCTCCCAGACACCACCTGAGCAAACCTGCCCCTGACGACAATTGCTATATCGTCAGCATATCCTAGATAATAGAAGCCTTCTGTGGACAAATTTCTGAAGAGATCATCTATCAAGGTTGCCCAAAGTAGAGGGGACAGAACTCTTCCTGGTAGACAGCCTCCATCTACTTTTGCTTTGATGGTCATTTTACCCAGTGTGGACATTATTATCCTATTCTCTAGGGATGCCCTTATCCATCTGCATATTACCGCAGGTGCGCCTTGTCTGCTCATGTAAAATTTGATAGTTTTGCTTACTTTTATTTACTTGATTTGACCAAGACATTGGATATACTGATATATAAATAAATATAAGCTGTTTTAACCACTAACTAATTTACCAATTTAGCGCCCTTTTTATTGCATCTAAAATATTTTTCAGGCTGGAAAAGTAAGAGAGTACCAAATTGGTAAGGATCTGCGTAAAAGGTATGATAGGCTTTTGGGACCAGTGTATTATCCAGAGGTCGTCGATGCTGTCACCACCAACAAGAATAGAACCAAAGCTTCGCTTGAGTTAGTTTTAGCAAGTTTGTTTAAGCCAAAATACACAGATGTGTGGAATTGGGCACTTGGCTGGCAACCAGTTCCCTATAACTATTATCCAGTCGATCAAGATCCAGTAAGTAATTAAATGATCATTATGACCTCGAATATTTACATATTTTTGCAAAATATTATTTATTAGATTTCTAAAATATTAATATAAGCTTAAAATGCATTTTATTTTAATGCCAAAATTAAGGTAAAGGGTATAGAAGGTAATTAGATCTTGTATGGGAATATGACCTGTGGAACAGCAGTAAAGTTTGTATTTTAGTTAAGGACACAATTTGGTATTAACAAATACATACTATAAGTTACATCTTCGTAGCCTGTATAGTTGGAGAGCCCTGGAGATAATTCAACACGTGTAATAAACACTCTGATAGATTAAATTCGTATTAAAAAAATATTAAAGGACTCCCTCAGTAGAGTACAACATACTCTGTAACAGATATTAGATCTGATAATAGCTCTTTAAACAAGAGTTCTGTTGAACCATAACACCTGGTTAACACCAGCTATTAGTTACTTACTATTTATAACTGGGAATACATTATTTACATTATCGAAATCACCAAATAGCTTACAAATCAACAGTATTTGCAAATCTTATTTTAACAGAATTTTATTAAATCTCTAAATAAAAATAAATTTACAACTGATATAAAAACAAAATAAATAAAGCAGTTGACAGTCGTTATCAATGTTCTTATTGAAGAAAAAATGATAAAAACTGAATCATCATTAAATTTAATTCCTTACATCAAAAATGTTCCTGTTCTGGACCCGGATTAAATTTCAACCAGCAGATTTGTAACAAGAATGTATTGGCTGATTCGACAATATAACAAGAATGTTTAGTGTAGCAATAGGGTAAACTCTAAAATGTACCTTGATACACCAACGGACTAATATCTGAAATAACAGAAGATGGAAGGGATTAGATAGAAATAAATTATGTAAAAGAAATAAATAAAGGGTAAATATGAATATTTAAAATATAATAAAATTAATGCTGGCTAGCGACTATGCAGGAGAATGACCACTCGACACTCAAAGAGGGATTCGGCCAATTTGCATGCCCTACAGAGACCGTAAGATATAAGAACTAATGACAAGAAAACCACCAAGAAATAAACAGATGAAAGATAAAGTTGCTCTACTGAATGTTTGGGCGCCAGGAAGTTAAATGTTATCTTCCGAGATATCTTGTATTGCTGAAATATAAAAAGTTGGGTACTAATTGAAATATTAATTTTTTAACCACAACTTTAATAATTACCCAAAACTTATGTACAGACTATGTTAAATACTTATCTATGACCCACCACCTCTTATGTACAATTAACTTATCTATATTTACAATAAAATCCCAGAATATAATGATAAACAATTTCCCCCCCTAACGTATCTATTAATGTTAAATTTTGACAAAGGTTATACTCAATAATTATGTATAAATAATATAAAATGAAATATAAGATAATATAAATATAAAATACTACTCACTAATATAATTTAGTTTTCGTTAATTAAATGTTTAAATTTTCAAATGAAACTCTCCGGTTATACGTTAAAACCTCATCCCTTGGTATAGAATAAATAATTAAATTAAGTTACAATGACTATTGTTTTAGAAAAATTGAATGGATTTATTATTAAAGATATATATTTAAATTAAAGTAAAGCAAAAGTTAAAACCTTGAAGAGGATGTTGCAAAAGTTATAAAAAATATTGGAATGACAAACAAAAACAAAATAAGTTCTTCCAGCCGGTTTCCGTAGGTTGCCCTGGAAGATGATCCGGTGAAGAACTAGACTCCAGTGGGTAAAAGTACACCAAACCTGGATTCCATGTATATATAAAAAATCTTCTTTAAATCCCCATATAACTTAAAATTTCTTCCCCTTCTCCTTAATAAATATAACCCAAAAACTAAAGGTTTCTTCCCTGACTTGTGACTGGATTCCGGAAGTTGGGCGGCTGAGGTGGTCCAAAACTTAAAGTATCCTCGTACAAAACACCCAAAAATAACTTAAATTGTTGCCTTTAAATCAACAGTTCTTCATAAAAAAAATAAACTTAAACTAAATTCCTTAAAAATGGCACCTCCCACCTGCCACTATGATCGATCGATCTTTCTTCGATCAAACCCAGTCAACAAGTCGTTCTATTAACACTTACAAGTCGTCAAGTCGACGTACTTTCAGAATCTTACACCAGAGGGCGGGATTTAATGCCAACCTTAGAAAGTAAAATTTACTGGGAGTTATTTAAATATTCGGTTTAAGAATATTTCAAATATGAATTTAATTTAGAATTAAATTAAAAGACTCCAGTCACAAAAAAGGTAAACGGTTATTTAAGTAACGGACTCGTTACAGATTGATCCTGTCGACCAACAATTACATCCAATTCTAGGGACGCAAACATCATACATACTTCTAAAACAGCCAAACCCCATATCGGTAGATATGTAACATTATCACCAAAACCAAATAAAACCCTTCCTTAACACTTCTGCTAATTAATTTAACCTTCAGCCACACCGGCTTAAGTTAATACAAATCCAAACATTGAGCAAAGAAGAAATAGAAAGTCATACAAATGAACATGACCCAAGAAATCTCAAATAAATAGACCTATTGAGCAAATTACACAAATCAAAACAAATACCAGATTCTAAGCAGTAGAAGAACAGGAGACCGATGAAAATCAAACTGTCAACAACAATACTGTTAACCAAACATCATCTACTTAATCAAAAGATCGAAGGCCACCTCCAATCTATGTCTATGGATTGACTGACTACATGGCAGTATTAACTCACTGACGGGGATCAGCTCCGCACAAACTAATTATACAAAAACACTTCCAGATAGTGTAGTAAAAATAAACAGCTTGAGTCCAAAAACGTACATGAAACTAGTAAGCTAAAAACTGATTTGATGTTTTTTTTTTCGAAACATTTTAATGGTTTTAATTCGAAAAATAAACATACAATACAGAATCCTGATCTAACCTCTACTAAACGACTTGTACCTCATGGATCAGGCACCCCAATTTCCTCACCTTTTATCTACACCATCCAACAGCAATCATCAGATAAAAGTGCCAACAGAAAAACCTTCATCATCTTGGTGCTACAGCCCTTAGAGGGCCTCGACCTTCTCAAGCTTTCTACGCCATTCTGTTCTGTCCCTTGCTTGAATTTTCCAGTTGCCGACTCCGATCTTCTCCGGATCTTGTGTACCCCATCCATCCACCTCAGCTTTGGTCTACCCCATCGTCTCATTCCCACAGGTTGCGCTGTTAGAATCTTTTTTATTATATTCGATTCAGGGGCACGGGCTACGTATCCTGCCCACTGCAGGCGGTTTCGCTTAATTATAGTGGTAATATCTTTACCACCAAACGTATGCTTGTAGATATTCTGCAGTTCGAAGTTATATCTACGCTTCCATATTCCGTTCTCACAGACCGCTCCAAATATTTTGCGTAGCACCTTTCTTTCAAAAATGGATAGAGCGGATTCATCTGTTTTCGTTAGCGTCCATGCCTCTGATTCGTATGTGAGAACGGGAACTATCAGTGTTCTATACAGCCTTATACGAGTTTTTTGAGACAGACGTTTGTTAGCTAACTACTTTGATAGACCATAATAACACCTGTTTGCAATTATTATTCTCCTTTTTATTTCCTCAGATGTATTATTATTGGGGTTAACCGATGTCCCTAGATATATGAACTCATTGACTGCTTCGAAGTTTTGGTCATTGATGATTAAATTTGTGTCAACATTTCCAGCTCTTGTGTTTGTGTTAGTCGCCATGAATTTGGTTTTATTTTGATTTATATGTAACTCCATTCGTTCTGCTGCTGCTACTAGCTCGGTTAGGATTTCCGCAGTTCTCGCCCTAGTTCTTGTTATAATGTCCACGTCGTCTGCATATGCTAGAATTTGGACTGATCTATTAAATATTGTTCTCCTGCTATCTAAATTAGCGTCTCGTACAACTTTTTCTAAGGCGACATTAAAAAGCTGACACGCCAGCGCATCTCCCTGCCTTAACCCCCTATGTATTTGAAATGGGGTTGACGAGTCGTTTTGCATTGACGAGTCATAGCGTTGTAAAGACTTGGTCGTAAGACACTGTCATATGCCGCTTTAAAATCGACAAAAATATGATACATATCTATGTTAAACTCTTGCGTTTTTTCGAGGATCTGTCGTAATGTAAAGATCTGGTTAATGGTTGAACGTCCAGGCCTGAATCCTGCCTGATATTTCCCTAGAAACATTTCAGTATAAGGCTTTAATCTCTCGTGCAAAATATTTGATAATATCTTGTATGCTCTATTTAGGAGAGTTATTCCGCGGTAATTATTGCATTCCAGTTGGTTTCCCTTTTTGTGTAACGGGCAAATTAAGCCTAAGCTCCATTCTTCTGGCATTTGCTCCTCAGACCAAATTCTACAAACAATTTCTCGCATCACCTTGGTGAGCTGCTCTCCACCGTGCTTAAATAACTCTGCTGGGATGCCATCGCTACCTGGGGACCTATGGTTCCTTAGTTTTTCTATAGATATTTTTACTTCATCTACCGAGGGGGTTCCACGAGTTCCTCATTTCGGTATTCTAGCTCTATATTGTTAGTAGGTTCCCCTTCCAGCAACTCTCGAAAGTGCTCTACCCATCGTAAAAGGATGTCCTCTTTGTTGGTAAGTAAGTTGCCTTCCTTATCATTACAATAGTTGATTCTTGGTTTGGATTCTTTTCTAATACTATTTATTTGATGGTAGAACTTTCTTGTTTCTCCGTGACTCATATGGCTTTCGAGCCGTTCTAACATGTCATTTTCCGAGTCTCGTTTCTTTTTTCGGTGTATGCGTTTTTCCTCTCTCCTTAAGTTTGTGTATCTATCTATTGTTGTTCTAGTTTTTCGTTGTTGCATGGTCCTAAATGCCTCGTTCTTCTCATCTGTTATTTTTTTACAGTCTTGGTCGAACCAGTCGTTTCTTTTTGGGTTCGAGATATTCCCAATGTGCTTTCGGCTGCTAATTTCAGAGCCTCC